ATAAGGAATATTGAGTTTTTCTTCGCTCCTCTTCTGGTCTTAATCCTTTTCTTTAATTTCTAATCCTGATATTAAAATAGAAAAAAATCCGAGGCCTCATTTCGGCCCCGGTTGTATGCCGTCAAAATGCTGCGGCGAGGTCTGTTTCCGCGATCCCTTTCCGCGGCAGGCCAAAACGGTCCCAGTCCTCTGAGCGACCGGAAATGACGGTCTCTAGTTGTGCTCAGTGCACCCATCTATCTTGCTATCTTTGAGGGTCACTCTTAAAATCCAGTGCGCCCAGAATCAGGGGTACCCTGAGTTCTCATAATTCTTGCTACCTGGTCATCCCAAAGCACTGTCAAAACGCGGACTTAACCCTGAGCCTAAACCACTAAACTGCCGTTTTCAGGCGGCGCACTACTTGTGGCCGCCTGACACCGCGCGCAGCGGGGTGAAGGATGTCGCGGCGGCGGGTGCCATTGCTGGCACGTCGACGGGGGGAGCGGGAGGAGGCGGGGGCGACGACTGTGATGGTGATGATGACGACGATCCGCTCATCAATAGGCAGAGGCGAACGGGAGGCGTGGCGGCTCTGGAGACGAAAGCACGGCTGTGGGTCGACGATCATCGTTTCTGGAACGAGACGGAGGGGCATGGGCTGGTGAAGATGATACAGGAAACTCGCCTGCACCTCCTGGCCATCGCGAAGGGTGTGAAGCCGCTGGAGATCAGAAAAAGCATCGTGCTGCCTAACTCCACGATCCCTCTGCAGAAGATGGAAGACGAGTCCGAGCTGCAGGCCGCCAAGGAGAGGGCTGGGAGGGTGCGGACGATAGCGTTGCGCATCATCCACGGGTGGCTCTTCAAGTCCCCCAATCACGCACGCGGTTATCATTGTGCGTACGGCTATGTGCTCAACCACGTGGCCATAGACCTAGGCCGCGCCATCTGGTTGGGAGAGGACTGGCGTGTTTGCATCAGTCCCACTCTCGTTCACAACACTTCGGAGGCTCGTATGAAGCTCCCCATATGGTACGTTGGCGGCATCATACACGACAGGCACGAGGACGACGAGATGGCGTCGTATCAGGAGTCCACAACGCAGCGTCTCGTCGGAGCTTTCACTAATGCTGTTGACGTGGGGGAGGGGGTGGACGGCGGKCGGATTTCGTAYGAGAGGTTGAGGAACRTCGCGGACTGCATGCRCCTTTTKYTGTCTGCSGCYATGTGGATCATGCGGATGGCGGGTGATAATCTGCGCTCTCACTACGAGGCCTCCCATCTGATGGAGGTAGTAGCGGAACCGACACTCATTGCGTCGCTTCATCGCTCGTTCGACGCGCGGCGCCATGTTCTGCAGTGCGTGAACGCCGTGACGGAGAAAATGGGAAAGCCCCCAATGACGTTGGTGGACTCTCCTTTATACATCCCCGACTGGGTTTCTTGCGGGGTGACTTTCAACAACGACGCGACGTTGGCATCTCCTGATCTTGCCAGGAGACTGGATTGGATGGGCACCGGACCACCCGAGATCGACGACGAAGAGGAGGAGAAGGCAGACAAGGGGGAGGCGTGAACGCTGGTCGCGGACTGCATGCGGCGACGACGGTGATGCGGATGATGGTGAAGATGATGGCGACGATGATGATGATGGCGACGATGATGACGAAGGCGGCGACGATCAGACCAACGATGCTGATGATGAAGACGACGCCGACGATGATGATGATGATATTGACGACGATGACGACGATGATGACGATGGTGATGATGATGAAGACGACGATGATGATGATGATCACAAAGACGACGACGACGATGATGACGACGACGACGATGATGATGATGATGATGATGATGATGACGATGATGATGATGATGATGATGATGATGATCATGATCATGATCATGACAATGATGATGATGACGA